CGGCTCCCTGTGCCTGCCCAGCCCCACCTGGGCAGCACTTGCCCCAGGCCCAGCCCCAGTCCCTCCCTCACCACGTGGGGTGTTGATCTGCCCCCCACCCTACCCTTCCACCACAACACACTTACCAGCTGCACACAGCTATATCAGCCGTCATAAAGACAAAACCCACATTGGAATGTCAAAACAGGATGTAAAATTTTAAATGTCGTAAGTGACATTCGTCACAACTCAAAAAGTCGTAAGTCGTAAGTTCTTACCCTCCCTTGAATGTTCTTCTGTACCATGGACCTTGCAAAAAACTAAGTGGGAAATAGTAGTTATGAATTGATCTTATAAACATTTAACTTCCCTTGAATACACTAGTTAGTTCCATATCTGGATTTTATGCCAAGGTACTCTGATAGTACAGATTTTATGCCAAGAGACTACTACAGGGGTGGACAAAATACAGCCTCTGGGCTAGATGTGGTCCACCAACTAATTGTATTTGGCCCATGGATCGGCGGCAATGAAGTCATAGGATCTGGCACATGGGGGGTGGCTTGGAAGTGGTGCAGGGCAGAAGCAGTGGGGAGGAGCCACAGGGTAGCCACAGCCAGAAGACCCCCAGAAGTGGTGAGTGTAAATACTGCTAGATCAGGGGTGGGCAAAATGCGGCCCACAGGCCGGATGCAGTCCACCAGGCCATTTTATCTGGCCCACGGGGCCCCTAAAAAATTTAGAAAATTAATATTTATCTGCCCCAGGCTGCCTGTCATGTTACCCTTGATGGCTTGCCAAAATTCAGTAAGTGGCCCTCCACCCGAAATAATTGCCCGTCCCTGTGCTAGATCCTGCTTCTACCTGGCACCCAGCAGCGGCTCCTGCCTCTCATCATGAGCAGGGCCACAACGCTCTCTCTTTCTGTCTTCCCCTTTCCCCCACTATCTCCCCCTCACCCCGCAACTATATAGCAGATCCCACAGCTTATACTGGCTCCAGCCTGTGCCCCGGAAGCAGTGCTGGGCCAGCACTGCAATCAGCTGTGGATGTAGGTGGCACCTTTCTCCTGGGGATTGGAGCATCTGCCTGAGCCCTTCCTTTGGGTAGAATGGCAGGACCTGATGAAGCTGCTGCCTGCACCCACACCAGCTCCACCCCCTCCCCCTGCAGCCCCATCCCACATCGGGAGGTTTGATGAGCTGTTGTGGGCAGGGGGGAAGTGTGCTGACCCAGCCTGTGACAGCTCACCAAAGCTCCCTGTGTGTCCTGTGGACACAAATAATTGCCAACCCCTGCTCTAGTAATACAAGGACTTTTGTTGCATACCTTTACAATAGGATTAAATAATGGTAGTAGTCCAGGGTTCATCCCAAGCCCCAGTGGCTCTCTGGGTAAACATGATTAAGACACAGAAGTGTGGTAGACAATGGCACACAGGGGAGTGGTGTGGTGAGCATCATACCTGGCTGCTTTTTATTCCACAGCCTGAAGACCAGCTCACAACTGGGTTAACTGGGGGCAGCCTTTAACACAAGTTCTGAATGAGACTTCAGCTCACATTTCTGTATCTGTAGAGAAATACCTTAACCATATTGCCAAGCTGCCACACTCACAAATAGTAGTGATACTAGTTAATGAACATTACATTTTCCAGATGGTAAACAGACTACATCAGTTCCTTACCACAAACAGCTCAGAATCTAACTAACATATGAAGGATACAATATGAAGAATGGTGATTGAACATTGGTGTTTAGATTTTAAGTTGATGGCTGTCGTGCTGACCTTTCCATAAATCATTTTTTGAGGGCTGGACCAGGTTTTATACCATTAGTGAAAACATGTGTTTTAAGGAAGGCTGGGTAGAGATAAGGCTGGACCAGTTAGGAAGTTCCAGCAGAAATTCCATCCATCTCAACATTTGGTTTGGTTTTTTATTTTTGATGGATATCATAAATGTTCAAGCTTCTACTCTGCTGAGCTCAAGAGTTGCTGAGTACTGTTAATGAATTCTGAATATGAGCCTGGTTTTAATGAAATGGCACGGAAAGATTCTTATTGAAATCGGACCCATGATCCTTCTATTTTTAATATTGTGGCAAAACAACTGGTGTCTGTTTTATGTATTTGCAATTGTTACAAAGTAGAGGATGATTTGTATCTTACATAGTTTGGGTAAAAGGCTCTTGGAAATTATACTGCTTAAAATTGGTACTAACATGAATGTTTTCTTGTTTTACAATGTATTATATTATTCTCTAGTGGACCCATTAAAAGCAAAGAAAAATCATCCACCAGAAACACTTATTTTTATAAAGTATGGCATTTACCATTTGTCACAGAAGTGACAATTTTTGCCCAATATGGCCTCTGAAAGCACTCTACAGCCATGACCAAAAACAAGTGCACAGCTGAAGAGCACTTTAAAAGGGTCCGATTCCATGACAATCTGAACAATCTGATTCCGTGACTTTCCATGGAGGTTCAGATGAAGGTGCTTCACCTTCATTAACTTCTGTCTGCACATGCCAGGAGCAGGTCTCAGCTAACACAGCCCAGCACTGTTCCTGCTGCTGTTTTCAGAATGGGACAGAGGGAGCTCATTCTGGGGGTTGCCCAGCCAGCACTGGAGAGTGGGGTGGGTAGATTGGAGCCCTACCAAGGTAGGGGGTTCCAATCCACAGACCCCATCACTCAAGTGCAGCTGGGGAAACCCAGAAAAGACCTCCCTCCCCTGTCTTCTCTGCCTCCCATCCTGAGACAGAATGGGAGCAGGGGCGGGAGGTGGGGGGTGCTGGAGCTAGGGGAAGGGGCTACAGAGCTGTAGAGGCTGCAGTCCTCTCTCCCTGGATTGACTCCAAACTGGAGCTTGATCACTCACCTTCCCAACCCAACAACTAACATCTGTTGGGTCAGGAGGATTGGTTTAACTTGTGGTGCTTTCTGTGTAATGCCATGAGTTAGACCTGGGAGCTTCACTTTTCATGGACTAGAAGTTATGAAGTCCTGAAGCTCATTGCTGTATCAAAAGAAGAAATGAGTGGATACTTTGAAGGCGTGTTTCTCATATCAATACTCCTTATTTTCAAAGTAAATGACCACCATTACCAGGTATTGTCAGGATCATGGCACAGTAGTATTATACCATATCATGATGCTTCACATTTCTAAAACATACTGCAGATTATTAGTTTTAATAAGTATAACTACATAGCAAATTACATGTACTATTTATTAATTACATGACATTGACTTGTAGGCCTTATTAAGAGCCAAATTATGTTCTTATTTACATTGGTGTCAATCCAGAGCAGCCTCACTGGATCTAACACCTTTGCACCCATGCAGATGAGCAGAATTTGGCTGTAAATTACTATGTAGTTAAAGAGACCGATTCTCCCCTGCTTTGATCCTGGTGCAGTTATTCATGCTTGAATTAAGTGGATGTAAGATGCTACCATTCTGATATGTTAGTGTGGTGTGCCCACTTTCTTCAGGCATAAAAATCGGTGGGAAAATATTTGCAACCACACTCTGCAAATCAGTTTTCATCTCTAAAAATCCTGTGATATTTCAAAGCACAAAAGGAGACTCTGGGCTGGGAAGTAAAATGATGCGACAAAATTGCTAATGAGTGGGAGTTCAATGGGAGTGAAATACAGAGAATAATGATAATAAAATATGCTGTGTATATTTTCATGACCCAGACTGGTTATTTCTTGCAGCTAAAGTCTCGTGTTCTGATGACTCCTTTAGCAATCTCTCCTCTGAGAAGCACACCAGAGCCTGACATTAGTTCAATCCCTCAGGATGCAGCTACAATACCTAACTCAGCTGCTCCACAAGCTCTTACAGGTATGCTAAATCAAACCCTCTGTTGTAAAATAGAAGGTACTGGTCTGATAGTGAGATACTATGCTTTCTAAAACAGGACTGGTCTATGAAAAATGTATGTTGAAGGAATGATATCTGCATGATATAATAATGATATAAATGGATAGCTGGACACAAAACAAAAATGGAGCACACTATCTTTGGATCTGGACTGATAAGAAGACTGTCCAGTTTGCCCTCGGAGTTTGTCCAGTTGTGAGGAAAACTAAGAGAGGTTAATTCTGTTTTAGGAGAAACATTAATTCCATTTCCCTTGAACATAAACCTGGACTCCTTGCTCATTTTTTTCATTTCTGATATCAGAGATTTCCACCATTTCTCACAGATGAAAGGATGCCAATCATATCCTATTGATATCAGAGATGCACTGGCAGAGGTGTAGTGATAACGACCAAGAGCTGTAGGGTGAATTTAAAAATTTTAAACCCCCCCCCAAAAACAGTCACAGGTACTCCTGAGGCTAGTGGGTCAACCAGTTTTTACAGCCAATGTCACTCAAAAAAGCAATGGAGTTTAGTACCATATCTGGCCACTAGTCAACCAGGTGCCTATTTTTAGCTGTGCTGAATGGGGTGAAAGTCCAGAGCAAAGCCCAAATCCATGCCTGCAGAGCAGTGATTTTCAACCTTTATAGACTTGAGATACCTCTCAATTGACTCGAGGCACTCAATCATAGATTCAAGGCACCCTTGGAAAATGCCACCTCTTAGTTTTCCTACTTTTTTACTACAGCAAAAAAAAGATCAGTTCTGTTGCAAAGCACTCAGAAAGTCCACAAGTCGGAATGTTTCTAACTCTATGGATTTCTCTGTGAAAACTCTTGGTTTATCTTGTGAATCATGTTTGCACAGCTAACAGTGCTAACATTGTGTAGGACCCCAATTACCCATGAAAGGATCTCAAGGCACCCCAGGGTATCACAGCACCCTGGTTAAGAATCGCTGCTCTAGAGTCATAACAAGATGCTTTAACTATCTTGCCTCATAACTTTTAGTTTAAGTTTTGGAAAAGAAGTTATGGTATATTCTTTTGCAGTGAGAGGAGGAACATGGACTTCTCTCTGGGTCAGGGCTTCAATAATACAAACCTACAATTAAGTTCACTGCTTCATAACATGGAGGATCTGGCCCTTTCTGTCTTGCACAGTGTAATGATTTATTGAAAATAGGGATCTGATTCCCTTCTCACATGAACTGGAGCATGCAAAGAATAACTCAATTTTTGCTGATGAAATGATGTAAGTGAGAGGTGAATCGGGACTTAATTTGGGAGAGGGTGAATTTACCCTGAGGCTCTGGTAGAGAAACAGATTTGAAAACATTAACATTTTAAATAAGTATCTCCTTGCGAAGGTGTGCAGGGGGAAATTCTCCTTTTGCTTTGGTAGCATAACAACAACAAGTACAAGTAAAACAAGAAAAAAATGCTTCTCACTGGGTTGCTGTGAAACTCCATTAGATAAGATTTATTATTATTATTATTATTATTATTATTATTATTATTAAACCTTAACATTGAAGGATCACAAAATGATTTACAAATATTATGTAATGGAGTTTCACAACAACCCAGTAAGAAGCATTTTTATTTTTGTTTTACAGAGAGGGAGGCTGAGGAAATGAGGTTAAGTAACTCCTTCAAGTTTTTGGTATTGCTGAGAATAGGAACAATGGGTGCATCTACATGACATGCTTTACTGCAGAGCTGACTAATTTGGGCATGAGGCCCAGCCAGTACAGGGGTGTGTGTGTGTGTGTGTGTGTGTGTAGGCAGGGGCAGAGTGTGTGTGTGTGTGTAGGCAGGGGCAGAGTGTGTGTGTGCGTGCAGGCAGGGGCAGAGTGTATGTGTGTGTGTGGTGTGTGTGTGTGTGTGTGTGTGTGTGTGTAAGAAGAGGCAGAGGGCGTGTGTGTGTTCATAGGGTGATTTCCCCACACACCCCCCACCCTACACATGCACCCCCCCTTGCACTGCCCTACATGCAGACCCCCACAACCACACCCCCTCACACACCCCAGCCACCCTCCTCCCACAAACCCCATACCCACCCACATCCCACATATCCACACACACACCCACATGCTACCTCACTCTATACCCCCATCTATCCACCTCCCACAAAACCACCCCACACACACCCAGACCCTCCCCCAACACTACATACCCACACACTAACAGCCCCCACAAACCTATCTCCATGCCCCGCCACACTATACATGAGTAAGACTTCATTTTAAGCTATTGTGTGATCACCCCTATGTACACTACACAAACACATGTGAACTAGGGCAAAAATATTTTCTTAAATCAAATTAATGAATATTTTAGATGTTCACTTTTTATAATATAATTTGGTATTTTTCTGGTTCCAAGATGGCAAAACCCCTTGCTTAAAGGAGTACTTCTGGAGGCAAGGGGAAAGACTCCTGGTGGCAAAGGTCAGGGGTTAAGGGGCAGGACTTTGGCCCCAAGATGGCGACCAGGGGGTGGGGCACCTGTCAAGGGGCAGGGCTAACCATGCGGCCCTCAACAACTTGCCAAAACTCAGTAAGTGGCCCTCTACCCAAAATAATTGCCCACCTTGTTCTAATCTAAGGCTATGTCTATGTTGCAGTCCAAGGTGTGAAGACAACATGCACAGGCATACACAAGCTAGATTTAATCCAGCAAATTCAGGTCCTGGTAGCACTGAAGACACCCTGCCCAGGCTTCAGTGTGGGACTAACCACCTAAGCAAGTGCTCTGGATTCTCAGCCAGTTGGCACTGAAGTCTGTCCCTCTCTGTTGGTACTGTTATTGATATCTGAGGTGTCTAGGTTAAAGCTGGCTCAGGCAGCTCTCCATACACTGTGCTCTTATCACCCATTTGGAATGTAGACAGGGATTAGTAATTTTTATGATTAAGAATGGGATGCTGGACTGACCAAATCCTGCTTAATGCCAGCAAAGTGTATCCCAGCAGCAGGTTCAAGCAAACACAAATGTGAACTAAAGAAGTTGAGTCTCCTGACACCATCCTATTTTGTGTTAATAACTTCACAGGCTGGCAGTTTTCTACAGTCCATGCACCCTGCTTGCATTTTTAGATCTGTCATCTCTAGGGTTGTATGGCATTTTGGAGATGTATGTAATATGAAGTATTATTGCTTTTATATTCATATTTACCCAGGATGTATTGCTTGAGTCCTTTTTGTTGTTCAGTATGAGGGGCTATGTCATAACACAGTGCACTGTGACATTAGCCCTGGATTTTCATTATGTGCTGTAAAGTATACATTATTTCCAGTGTTACCAGGCTGTCATTGTGTCTTCCACTCTGTTTGATATTTTTTGTCACATATCTGATTTCTGTCAGAGGATAATGTTGTATTATCCAGGAGATGACAGCTCCAGCACATTCAGCCAGCTATTATAATATGTCTTACTTTAGATTTACTGTGGCTTTGTTTTCAGTCACTCTTCTTCACCACAGCCACAGCTCTAGCTGCTTTGAAATGGAGCAAGCTTCAACTATGTTTAAACAAGGCTCTTGCTGGCCTGTTGTTAAAAAGGATTCTTTGGTCAGTGCAGATGGGGCCCAATTAGGGTATAAACCACTTCACACAAAGGTGCGCTAGAACATTTAAATGTGCTACTGCCTAGACTCTGGGCTTACCATGGTTCTAGTCCCAGCAGTGCCTTCTGTTGGGGAGATGACCACATGATCATAGGCGACATGGGGGGACATGTCCCCCCCTGACAGCAAGTGCTCTGGTTGGTAGGGGGGCATGGACAGCGCTTGTGCCCCCTCTAAAATTGGCTCCACTGCCACTATACCGCATACGAAAGTGCCAGCACTTCCACTGCTGCCGTGCTGCTGGCACGCTCAGCATCCCCCACTTCTCCCTTGGTTGCCAGCTGGCCACTGGTGAACCCCCACCCCAGTCGTGCTTTGCTTGTGCCCCCCACCAGACTCGGGAGGCACCAGTCGCCCATGCACAGGATCATTATTTTATGCTTTTAATAAATCAAATGGTTACAGTATAAGGTAAAAAATTGCTTGCCCTTCTCTGAGGCTCTAGGAGCAAAGCAGTAGCCCAGCAGCTGTGTGTGGGGATGGAGCCATTCTGCACCTTTTCCAGCTCTAGACAGTTTTGTCACTTGGGGGACAGCAGTCAGCAGTTCACTTCTCTTCTAAAGCTTCTTGCAGGATAGGTACACATGCATAAGGTTCAAGGGTTTAGTCATTTCCCCAGTTTGCCCACAAATCTCCCTTCCAGGCCTTCCCTTCTGCAGTTTGTGTCCAATGGCCCATGGAGGTATATAGAACCCCACTGTTGGCAAGGACTTATTGGCTTGCTGTTACCCCCCAGAATTCCTCCCAAAGTTGTACTGCAGCTCTCAAAAGAAACACAATTCCTTACAGTTGGGCTTTCTGAACTCTACTCTGAATTGTGCCCAACTTGAGAAAATTTTTAATGGTGATATGTGAGACCATTTATATCACTGACAGGGGAAGCATGTGGGAAGTCTGACAGTAAGGGGCCTTAGAAGTCCCCTGCAGGTCCTTATGTGTTGACCCAGATACAGAACTGAGCACAGGAAAGAATGTTAACATGCACATGACACAATAGTTCCCCAAAATAAGATGCAACATGCAAGGTAGAATTTAGACACAGAGGGAAAAAGACATCATGAAGGCCACAATCCCAGGCATCACAGTATAGCATGTATATTCACTCCAGAAATCACAACTACACTAGAGCCTGAGAAATTGGGACCAATGATGACTCGGACTTTTATATGGCACCCCAACACAACTCCATTGTGTGATTGGAACAGTTTCCAAACATTTCACTTACAACATCAGTTTCAAACAAGTCTAATATTATAGCTTTAAATATATAAGAAATATTGGATTACAATTTAATACTTTTAATGATAAATGTCATCCAGTATCCCCTTATTTTTATTTTCATTATATACTCTATGCTATGGTAGATTGCAAGAGAGTATGGTATGCTCTGGGCATATATAGAAATTGTCAATAGATTTTTTAATTGCATGTAGTTTTCCTCACATATCGAAATGTATATAGGGCAAAATCTAGCTTGCTTTATTCAGGTAATGGTAATGTCAATAGGAGTAAGGCGCACAGAATTTGGCCTCATTAGGTACTTTTGTCTCTGCACATCATGATGTTTCACAAATGAAAGAGCTCTTAAAATATCATGGAACATACAAGCCCAGGGTTGGTTGTGATGACTTCAAAGATTTTTTGTAACAACTGTGTCTTGATTTTGTGCCTGCAGTTTGCATCTACGTCAACAAACAGGCGAACATGGGGCCATACCTTGACAGAAAAAAAGTGCAACAGCTTCCAGATCACTTTGGGCCTGAAAGACCTTCCATGGTCCTACAGCAGGTAGTTCAGGCCTGCATTGACTCCTCACTTCAGCAAAAGACCGTCTTCTCACTTGTCAAGCAGGGCTATGGAGCTGAAATGGTGTCAGGTAAAACATTAAAGAAAGGTTTTGTGATAAATCCAGAAGTGCTCTAAATCTTAACCTGCCCTTCAAACCTGAAGGTTGTACCAGAATTATTCAGATCAGTGAGCCAGGGACCAGCTGTTACGTCATTCACACCCTTTTAAGGTAAGAGTAACCCTGTTGCAGTTGAAGGAATTACACTGGTATGAAATTAGAATTGGGCCCCAAGAGTCCAGTATATTGAGAAAGGAGGCTGTTGTTAGTCAGAATGCCATTAATGGATTACACAGCCAAGTGCCTGTTACTGGCAGTCATCATGTATTCTGACATGTGCCTTGTTTAGTGCAGCAAAGCATCTAGTAAAAATCAAATATCATTAAAAGCATTTTCTGCCTCACATTTTAAAAGAGCATCCCTTTGTTTTCTCACTCCCCCACCTTTTTCAAAGTTAGCTTTGTATCAAAAGATGGGAAAGGAAACAGCAGAAAACATTAACACAAATGTTCATATGGGCCGTTTTAAGTTTAAGAGTACAATGATACGTGCCATTACCAACTAGCTTAAAATGGAAGCTATATGTGTGGGCCAAATGCTACTTGTTGACTTTAGCAGTATGTCAGTGTCCTGTATGTATCAGAGCAGCTCTCTCAGCTACACCCATAGAAACCCACTGAAAATAATGGGATTGTCTGGGAAAGATTTTTAACTTCAAGTCTTGGGCAACTGCAACCAAGATTACTGTGGTAGCTCCCACAAAGTAAACCTGGATACTTTTTTATAAAGCAGGAGAGTTTTGTTTTATGAACTGATTTTAGCAAAGGACATACTATGGAATCAATACTTTTCAAATGAGCTTATGAGGATGAATGGGATGTGAGCAGACAGTGAGATGCAAACTATCCATGAACCAATCAGACCGGCCCTACAGGGATCAAATCAGCTTTTGCTATGTCACTGGGGCCCCTTGCATTGTAGGACCCAGAGTTTTGTCCTGCTGTGCAGCACATATAGTATTGACTGTCATCCCCTCCTTTTCTTTCCTATTGGGGCATTCTAGTTTCATTTATGACTTCCTTGAGCAAGGCATCAGACGTACTCAGAAAACTATTCTGTTTCATTCCTGAAGGCATGCAGATCTGTTCTAACCAATGCAGAGTAGCGTGAGGTTTCTTGCCCATGTAGTCTTCTCTCAATGAATACATATACTTTACATTAATGTTTGAGAGAGAACTAGAACCTCACTCGTCTGATGGCTAAAAATATTTTTTTTCTAATTTTTAGCCTCAATTTGTTTTTGGCCAATTTATTCATATTTCTTCTTGTGCCAACATTGTTCTTTAGCTTAAAGAGCTCTTTTGTGTTTACCCCCAAAGTATTTCTTCAGAACAACCACATTCCCTCAGTCTTTACTCTGTTAGGCTAAACAAGCTAAGCTCTTTTAGTCTCCTTTGGAAGTTAGGTTTTCTGTTCTGTTGATTACAGCAGTAGTCCTTTTCTGCACTCATTCCAGAATTGCACATTGATGTCTAGATCAGAGCCATGTACAATGGCATTCATTAGTCTCTGTTTCTACTGGAAATACTTTGCCTGATACATCCACATCATAATTATGACTCACAAGTATCCCATGATTGACTAATATACCCAAGTCTGGGTATGTCTACACAAGACGCTTTACTGCACAGTAGGCTTATCTATTGCACAGTAAAGCATCACCGTCTACACATGCGCATATTTACTGTGCAGTAAATTAAGCTATTGTGTGGTTAGTTACTATCCATAAATACAGGTAGTAAACAGGTAGTAGCACATGTGTAGATGCTGACTGAGCGCAAATTTGTGACTGCAGAGGCCACAGAGGATGGGGAACTTACCCCAGTTCTGGCACTGCTCAGCTCCCAGCTTCCTTCAGGACCTGGGAGATGAACAGTGCCAGGGTGGGGTAGCTCTCTGCCCTCCCAGCCTGTACTGGTGCTGCTGAGCTCCCAGTTCCCCACAGGAGCTGGAAGCCAAGCAGCATTGGGACTTGGGAGCTCTCTGTTTCCCTGCCCAGTGTGGGGGTGGCTGGGAACTATCCCATTCTGGGGAAGATCCCAGCCAGCTCTGGGCTGGGTGGGAGATTTTCCCTCATGGCCCAGGGCTGAATGGGACCTGCCCCTGTGTACCACACAGCCCAGAGCTGGCTGGGACCTGCACCAGAATGAGACAGTTCCTGGCCAGCCCCAGGCTGTATGGGGAAGCCTCTTTAGGCACAGGGCTTGTCCTCATGTGCACAGGGTGAGAGGTCTGCAGCAGCAGTTGTCTCCCAGCCCTGTGTACATCAGGACCCCTCCCAATGCTGCTGGCAGAGCTCTCCTGGCCCTGTGAGCATCAGGACCAGCCCCATGCTCCCTGCCAGCCCCTAGGCTAGCACCCAGGGGGAACCTGGAGTTCCCCCTGGCTGCTGCAGGGAGGTAGGACAAGGTGGAAGCAGCCCTGTACCAGGCTGCTACTATTGGGAGCAAATCTGCTCCTGGTTAGGCTTACTGCACAGTATTTTTACAGGTATACCCCTGTTGCAGTTATCCTTTTTGCTGCCATTATTCTTTCCTTCAAAAATTGTTCTAATAGCCCTGTTTTATACTGAGATTAGAGTTATAAGGTCTGCTATTATCTGGGTTGTGTTTTACCTTTCTTAAATATAGGTCTTATGTTAACTATCCTCTAGTCCAGTGATTCTCAGCCAGGGTGATGTTTGACCCTGGGGTGCCATGGAATCTGTTTAATGGTGCTTTGAGGTGCCATGCAATATTAGCACTGCTAGGTGTGCAAGATACATCCAGAGATTTCAAAAAGTAATCAATAGGGTCAAAAACATTTTGACCTGCTGGGATCTGCATTCTTTGCAACAGAAGAATTGCTCTATTATTTTTTTCCTAGTCAAAAAATGAGTGAAAGTTCATAGCTGGGGTGCCTTGAGAATAATAAGGGGTGCTTTGACTGTAAAAAGTTTGAGAACCACTGCTTTAGTCAGCCATCCCCAGTTTGGTAAATTTGTTATAAATTCTTGCTACTAAACTTGCAGTTTCATTTGCCAAGTTTTCTGTGTTCTGGGATAAAGAGCATTCACTTCACCTGACTGGAGCTTCTTCAGCTCTTTGGGTTTTGCTTTAACCTCACATGTTATTATTGTATAAAATATCTTAAGCAGCAGACATGAATATTGCATGGTATTATTTTCCTACTCTACAAAGTCATCTCAGACCAGTTTGCTCCTGTGCATTTGTGTGTGCATTGAATTGCTCTTACTTACTTTTCAGTTTCTGCCTCTTTTGATGGAAAACAGCATCTCCTGAGCCTGCCAGTTGTGAACAGCATTGGGTATGTCCTGCGCTTCCTCAAAAAACTCTGCCGCAGCCTATTGTGTGACAATCTCTTCAGCAATCAGTCTTTCGCACAATACAGCAGCACTTCTGAACATCCAAAGGAGTATGAGAGTAGAAGGATGGAGTCAGGTAGGTTTGGATTTAACTGCTGCCAAAGATTTGATGAGGGGCCAATGAACATGACTCTATCTAATATGGGTTTCATTCTGGACTGTTCCAGAAAAGTCATAAGAGTCAGCAAATGAGTTTAATTCTAATATGCCCATTTACCTATGAGACCTATCAGGGATGGATAAAAGGTAGGCTGATGGACAGCAGGAACCACAATTATTCTACATTAAGTACCTACTTTTTAACCTTATTTTTAAAACAATGCCACCAGTGACTTGTGTTTCCTGAGTCTTTTCATACTGATCTTCCCCAGAAGCACACTGCAGGAAAAAAGCACCCTGGGCAGTCTCCCCCAGCCCCCTCCTCCCTCTCCTTCCCCTTTCTCTCCCCCTCCTTCCTCCTCCCTCCCTACCCCACCCCTGAAGAGCAGCAAGCAGCATCAGTGCAAGCAGTGCAGAACAGTGCAAGCAGTTCTGGGACTCATAGTTCTCTAGAGTGGCAATGGAGTTTGCTGCTGCTGTGGACTTTCACCCCATTTTTTGCCACCATGTCCAGAGGGGGAAAAATTGATGAACATCGGGCAGAACATAGAGCAGTTCTCCTTTCAGCAGCAGTGAACTCCACTACTGGTCTGCATAACTCCCAGAAAGCCTTGTGCTTCATTACATACATTGCCTGCCCCAGGTCCTTTTTGCAGCCAAGCAGGTAGCAGGCAGGCAGTAGCCCTGGGGTGAAATGCCCTCTCCTTGGCTTTCTGGTGCTCTTCCTACTAGGCAGCACCCAGGGCATATGCCCTGCTTGCCCACCCATTACCACTTATTGGTCTTGTTGCTTCTTGTCTTCAATTAAATGTCTGACTCTTTGGGTAGTAAGCGTGTTTTAATGTGTTCATAAATAGCGACTGGTAGATGGAGCCCTGATTGTGGCTTGTGCCTCTCAGGGTTACCACAATGCAAATATTACGTGTGAACATGTATTGATGTTTTTCTTCATGCACTTCCTTGTCTTGTGTTTGATCCATACAATGTGACATGCCTAGCACCGCATAGCAGAAGAAGCAGGGGCACACTATTACTTGTAGGAGTGCAAAGGATATCTGATGTGGACATATATTCATTAGGATGTTCTGGATCCATAATTCCCATTGGGCCCCACTTCACAGATAGTAGTAATGATAGTGGGTATAGCATACACAGGGCCTAGCTGACTGCTGTATAGTGTAACCTGGCTCTGGAACTGCTCCTAGGATGTACAGGTCCTAATGGTGTCACAGTCAAAAGATGAAATCCTTGGCTCATTTGTGTCCGTGGGAGTTTTTACATGGGCTTAAAGCTGAAGGGGGCTAGGGTTTCACTAGTGCGTCACAATATGGTTGCGATTAAAGTTACTTCTTGTTTGAGAATACGAGCTTTACACCTCCCTCTGGAACCAAGTGTGAGATAACTTTCTTTCCTGGCCTTATGAGAGGCATCTACTACTTGAGGAATGGATATCCTATACATGACTTGTGATAGCTTTTACACAATCCAGGTTCCTATCTAGTATAAATCCAAAGTGACATTGTTAACTTGAATAGACTCATTTTAGATTACATAGCAGTAGGCTGTGGGTATGTTTGCATCCCTTTTACATATTGCTGCTTCTTTGCGTGGTAAATTAGCCCATAAACACCATGAAGCTGAAGCTATCCTGCTTCTAGTACCTGAGCTAGTGCATTTATAGCTAGCTTAGGTACCCCTACAATACAATATAGCTTGCAGAGATCAAAATTTCAATTTTGGATCTCCCAGGGAGCATAAATCTAAGTCAGATTTGCAATGGTTTTAAATGTTTTGTTTTGTTATCTGGCAAGAAGCAACAGCATGATCAGTGCTGTAAAAGATGGCAGGGATTCTGTCCCAAATGCTTTAATCTCTGAACCAGACAGAGTTCAAACAGAAGGCCCAATGGAAGCCAAAGGTTCAAGGAGCACAGGTTCAGTATGCATGTGTACACCTGTTATACCTGATGGTTGCTATGCTTTGCAGATGCAGTGTTAAGGGAGGATTTGCAAAAAAGAAGGGTAGTTAATATGTGTTCAAGGAAAGAATGGGAATTTTATTTGTAAGCATCAACCTACAAGAAGGTACAAGAGCAAGGCCTTGAACCTGTAGTTCTTTAAGCATCTTACCTTGATTAAAATGATTTCACCTGACTTTCATTAAGAAGCACATTGCTGCAATGGATGAATATTCTTTCATTGTTTAATGCCATGGGGATTGTATACACTTATGATTTAGGTGACCATTATGAGTTTTTAATCACTTGTTTTCCTTAAGTGCAGAGCTCCTTCTCTGGATAGTTTGCAGTCCTCAAGGGAAGCAGCCCCAGCCAGTCACACCTGTAGCATCCTTTCATGGCAGAGTCCCTTCTCTGACTACCAGCAGGGCTGGACTGACTCCTAGATCAAGCCCTGGGCTTTTATACTCCCTAAGCTCTCCTGCAACAGGTCAGGCGAGTCCTCACCACCTGCAGGGACTGCTCATCATGATCTGCCATCCAGCTTCCAAGGGAGCTTACAATTACTGCTACCACTGCTTCCTTGTTACCCAGCTAGGTTCTGCCTATTGTCTTATTGCAGCAGAGCTACCTCTGTACTAGCCTTTGGCCTCTAATTGCCTGTTTTCGCAGCTCATTCTGAGCAATATTCCCTTGACTGGCTGCAGGTGGTCCCTTTCTCCGTAATGTGGTCTGCCTAGGGAACAGTGCTCCCTGGTTGCCTACTGTTTTAAAGCTGCCCTTTATTCTGCTGCCTGACCTCTGTCTGCCACAAGCTTTACTTTAAAGTAACAGGATCATTAATCTCCCTGTTACAGATGTATTAGACCTTAGGGCATAGTTGGTCCGTCATCACTCTGTCACTGACATGATTTTCCTTTAATATTTAAAGTGCATTTAATGCTTATGTAAGAGGCCTGGGGAACACAGATAGAAAGTGAAAGTCTAGCATTAGCTACTGAACTGATGGTATAGTGACAGAGTGCAGTTCATGGCAGTTGTCTGTCCATGACCCTCCTTCTGACCTAGAAATAGAAACATAAGCGCTGAAAATCTCCGTGCATATTCAGTCCTTAGGCTCTTAACTTAATCTGTCCCTAATGTGAGTGAGTGAGATGCTGGCTTTTGTGTTGTGAAGTATCTGCTTTATAGGAGCAGGACTGGAACAGCCTTCCAATTTCACAGGAGCTGCTGAAGAGACATCAGGTGGTAACAAATCTATTTCACTTATGTCTTTGTTTGGATTGAAATGAGTGAGCTTAGGGTGAAAGGCTCCCCCTTGAACTACCTTACTTCATCTGAAGTTGCATTATCTTGAGTGCTTACCAGGTGACACAAGAATCTGAGAGAGCATAGTGCCATTATACATCAACCTATTGCTGTTAGTATGAAATGGATAATATCAGTTTCACACGGATCACTTGGAGCTCTCTAGGAGTGGAGCTCACAAGAAGCATTATTCCCTTACCTTCCCCTCCTCTACAGCATCCACACAATGGATATGAATGGTATGGCAATTAAGCCGCCATATTTTAATCCCGCATCATAGAAATGATTTGAGTATAAAATGTAGTTTTGCTTCTTGTGTCTTTTGCCTTAGATAATTTGGACAATTTTTGTTTATTTTGTCTTTAAACAGAAGGCACCAGGGTTGGGGGCTGTTTTATTTAGTGCAACCCTGGTTTCAGATGTGTGAGCATTGAGCCAGACTCTACCTTCCTAAAGCATTCTGAATTGCTGCTCACTCCAGTGCTGGGCCTGCTGACCCAGTACTACTCAGTATAAGTAAGCATAGCAGAATCTAAACCAGATACATTTTCCATCACTGAAAATATTCCCCAGTAGTAAATCAGGCCTTGTACCATATGAAACGCAGAGAATATGAAGAGCCATTGAAGTAGTTATTGGGCACATGGAACGCACAAAATACTCAACTGCTACAACACTGTTATACGTGAAAATGAGGCCTTTTCTATGAAACTGCAATGCATCCATGCCATCTATCCATTCGCTGCAGATAGTATCCTGAGATCTTTGTACCAAAGGATTTTGGATAAACTGGGTAGTTGATGAAACCTGGGCCCTTCTTCTCACATCTGTAAAAGAGCCAGTGAGGCACGTGCTACTCCCATTTATACCAACAGTAGTTTTCAATAACACCATTGATGTCAATGGAAAAACTCCAGATTTACAATAGTGAGCAGAGCTTGACTCACTGAATGTATATAACAACATATTCTATTAGCCCTCTTTTGTCTTGCCTTTGGCTAACTGCTAACCTTTCCATTGTGCTAATTTAGGCAGTAGTGTCAGTATGGAAGCCTCCTCTGTTATATGCAGTAGAATTGAGTCAAATCTCCTCCATGTACATGCTGGAGAGTACTGCTCCATCTTCCCCTGACTTAGTAATAATAACAATGATTTACTCCCAGTGCAGAGAGGTTACACTAGGCCCTCTGGACCTGGGTGACTTTCGCATAGAGGATGTGGTTCCCATAATAAAATCCATAGGAAACCACAAAAAGCAGCCACATTCCTCACAGTGCCTGTTCTCCACCTTGGAATCTAGATGTATGTTCTTTCACAATCATGTGCCTCTTCACCTCTGCTTGCCAAGAAACATAGCACATGTATTGACTTCAGTGTAATTATTCTTGATTTACACTGGTAGGAATGAGAAGAGAAGCAGGCATCGTGTCCAGTCATATTAATCCAGTTACACCATTTAGTAGTCACCTTTTAACCCTGCCCTCATGCATGTGACCTTACACAAGTATTCACCTATTCCCACAGTGAACTGCCAAATGCTAATGGCTACATAAAGGCCAGGTGGGATTTGTTGGATAAATGTGTATCTTTCTTTAAGCATTTGTAATGTGCAATAAAATTTTAAAAATCTAAGAACTGTAAAACCATGTAGCTGAACATAGAGCCAGCCTAAGTATGTATTTTCATCACCGCTCTCCTCCTCCTCCTTTTTC